GCCTGCTGCTCCCCTCAGCAGTGTACTTCATCGATCTGCCTGTTCTGCTCCCCACTCTGTCTCTGGTGAAGCCTCTCACCACCCGTGAGCCTCTGGCCTGTACCCCAGTTCTGTATGTACAAATAAATAAATCTTTAAAGAAAAAATAAAGAAAATGTCCTAGTTGGATAAGCAAAAAAAAAAAAAAAAAAAAAAAGGTTTCACTATCAACTTTATCAACTTTAGAATATTTAATACAAATAAGCCTGAAATAGCTTGTAAAATCTGATGTAGAATTATCAATGTGAGTTTTAAGAAAAAAAATGTAAATGAGAAATCAAAGAATAGCTTTGCTCAAAAAATGATCTTGATACTAAGGTTTTTGACTGCAAGCTAGCTGTACCTCTTCAGCTTGCATGATTAATTCACTAGAGTATCCAATTTTATCTGTCTGTCATTGAAGCCAGTAAAACTTTTAGCTGGAATGTTGAATTAGTTATTCCTGGAAACTCTCCCATCAAGGAGATAAATTAAGAACTTTGAATGAAGATTGACGATCCAGCCACTCCAAATATACAAGTATTAGGAACCCAGCATTAATAAGCTGTAGTGCCCCAAAATATAGATTATAAAATAGACTCTTCTAAATTATTTTATCAGTGACATATTAAATTAAAAACTGTCATTTCTTATAATATGTAGGTCTGGACTCTGAGATAACTCCAGTCTATCGAAATAGCAACAGGAATATGAGCTTAAAAACTATGGCACCAAAACAGTGCTATGTTGCAAGTATCTGAATGTGATTAGCAGCACATGCCATCAGTAATTAACCAAATTATATCATTTTTGGTGAGTTTATTTGAAAATCTACAAGCTCATATCTATGCATTTTCTCAATGACAACAGTTTAATGTTTGCCTATAAGAACTTATATTTACATCTTGGCAGATTATTACTAACCAGTAAATAATCAAACACTTTTCAGCCTGGCAAATCCCTGAGAACAGTTTTAAGGGACTAATTATAGCACAATACCAAGTAAATGGTGAAATTCTCTCTGGATTGTAGCCTAAAGTAAGGTCTACAATGAACAAAACTATCTTCAGTAACTTGCTAATTGATACTGCATCTGATAAAGATTTCTTTTTTTAAAGGAAGGAAAGTTCCTAAGAGATATGCTATTTTCTTCTTTTTCACTTCAAAGCAGTACAGAGCAAGTAGAGTTTCAAATTGTTGCGGCCCCAGCTGTGAATGAATCTAATTTGGCTCTTGATCACAGAGTTAATAAGCTTAGTACTCTGTATTTCAGGGCATAAGTCCTTGGTCCCTCAAGAGAAGGTGATTGTAATGAAAAAGAGAAACGACAAAGTGCCCGGTTACTTCCTGTAACATAATCTGCCCATTAACTCTCATGGTCAGCCATAGTTCAACCGACCATAATTCATTTGTAAGGCATCGGAAAAGATTTCATCTTTGTTCCCATCTCTTGGAACTTTTGCCTGGACAAAGGCCTTCAGTTACCACAACCATGGTGGGAAGCGAATCTTATATTGAAATGTCTGCTGATAAACAATGCATACAAACTTTGTTTATATTCTTGCCAAATTAATTTTCACTGTTTTTGGAACTGGCTGCAAATATAACATTTCTAGAAAGCTAATAAGCTGATCTTCCTTTTCCATGTGTATAGCAAAAAATATTGAGTATAATATTTTGTTAGTCTTGTTTTTTTTATTTTTTATTTATATATAGGTATTTACACCATTTTTCATTTTTGTACAGTGTATGCTTTCTCCTACAAAATTCCCACCACCAGGTCACACATGCATTGTCATCATAATCCCTTGTGCTCTTCCATCCTGTTTTGACACCTTTCCTTCCCCTTCCCCTTCAGAGTGTCTCTGATATATAGTTGCCTGTTAATTTTGTATTTATTATAATTATTTTGTTGTTTTTATTGAAATGACTGATTCGAAACTATATAGGATTCAGAGGTTCAGGATCACATCTCAGATATATGTTACCGCACCTCAACCACCATCAAGTCAACCATAACCCTTCTCTGCCATTATAGGCTCTCCTATATATCATGCATTCTCTACCCTTTTCCCCACCTCCAGCCCACCCTGCTTCAGTTCTACTACCAGTATAATTTTAAAACCATGAACACAGTTCTGATTGAAATGCATTTCCTGATACCTTTCTAGAAAATCTCATTACCCCTAAGATTTATGCAATTTAGAATTATGAAAAAACTTCACAGGCTCTCTATCTGGATATAAACAACCCCCTGCAAAGATCTAACTTTTTGGTCCACAGGCTTAAGAAAAGACTCAGAATAAGCAAACAGAGGAAAATTGGCTTTCTTAGGAAAATTTCTATTACAAGGAAGGAAATGGAGGCCAAGAACAGGTTGAAGTCACTTATGAAATAAAATTCTGCTATCTCATGATATACAACAACCAAGTGAGTAGTTCCATTTCTCTTAACATGCAATCCTCTTTTGAAGTCTTTTAATTAGATTTTGGAACTTTTTAAAAAAGTTTTATTTATTTATGCATATGAACTGCGGTACAGGCCAGAGGTACGGTGGGTGAGAAGATTCACCAGAGGCAGAATGGGGAGCAGAACATGCAGATGTACTGAAGTACACTACTGAGGGGAGCAGCAGGCAGGTCTGAGAGAATTGCTGTGCCATGTGGGTCAGCTCCCTGGCTGGGATCAAAGTCGTGCTGCAGTGGCTGTGGAGAGCTTCACAGTGCTGTGCTTAACCTGTTGTGCCACCAGGAATAATCCAGGTTTTGGAAATTTAATCATGGGCTAAAAAGAAATTCATTCATTTTGAACAGAAAAAAAATACATACAAATTATAGAAAAGAATAATATTGGGGGCAGAGCCTCAAGTTTGAAAACCATAAAGTTTATTCCCTTTAATGGCTTAGGAAACCTTGAAGATTAGGGAACCAGAGAGCAAAGGAGCTTGGTCATTGCAGGTTCAACTTTCCCTACCTGGGTTCTAATCTCAACTCATTTACAATCTCTAAGGTCTGTTCAGATCATGAGAAAATAGTGTGTGTTTTTCTGCTATAGAAAACTTGTGTATTTTCTCATATCTCCAGCATCAATGCATTTCTCCTTGGGCAGGTTCTGAGCTGTACCTGACATTAATGGAATCCAGCTCACTTGCTGACTGCCGCCCCCTCAACCCGGCCACAACTCCCCCTACCCCACAAAAGCTGTTTGTGCCTCCATCTACAAAGCAAGGTGATTCATTAATAATTTAAAATCAAAATAATCTCACACATCCCTCATATATTTTTTATGGTGTGTGTTCTACAGAAGAGCCTTATTAGTAGAGAAATCGCTCCATTGAAACATAGTCCAGTGGGTCCTGCTCTGGGCAGAGGACCATGACCATTTAAAAAATGAAAGTGTGAAAACAACCAAACAAAACCAAAAACTTCCAAACTAGTTCAGAGAAATATGATGTGAACTCGGCTTTAAAGTGCACAGAAAAACAAAATTCTGCCCACGTAGGACCTGCTGGTGGTAGCTTCACTCCAGCAAGAACTTGTACTTGTTAGGGAAACTAAAGAGAATGCAACTCCCACCTGCTAGTGAAGGTCCTATATGCGATCTAGCTAAAGAATGACTTCTCTGTACTTTTCCATATCTCAAAATCTTACCAGCAAACCCCAGCAATTCTTTGTGTATGGTGAGTTCTTTTTAATTAGGCCTGGTCTTCATTTAATTAACACTGGTCTCGTGAGCAGAACTTTCCCCAACTTCAAACGAGTACAAGTGATTCCTGATCTGATCTGGCAGAACTCATTCTTCAAAGATTCTATTCTGAAATGGACATTCTGAAGACCCAGAGGAGTCTTCTCCATCCAGACAGCTCCCCCCCCCCCCCACAAACACACACACACACACTGCTGAGGCAAGAGAGGTCAGTGTGTGTTTGTTTTGTTCATGTTCACTGAGGTCTCATCTTCTCAGTTTTCCTCTATACCCTACGTGGGCAACTACTTCCTTAGAGAATGCTAGCTGTCAGCCTAAGTGACTACTGAGTCTGTCATTAAAGCAGACAGATGATCCCATAAAAAAATGAAAATCCTTACAAACCTAAGAATCTAAGTTTTGTTGACCAAGTCTAATTTTGAAAGGTATGGCTCTTTGGGAAAAAGAATAAAATCTCCAATCCTGAAGTTAAGCAATTACTAAACACCTTCTTTTCATGAATCTTACTAAATCAAAGCAAACCATCCTGCAGAAACAAACAGCCAAGTGAGCTTCCCCCAAATTAACTATTAACTAGTAGGCACCAGACTAAACTAGTGAGAGAAACAATGCATTAAACTATTTGCTGCTTGTCAAAAGTACACTTAAAGTTTAAAAAACTAGAGTGAAGTATTTTTAGCACTCTCAGTTTTCTATCTAAACCAATTACAGCACCATCATAAACAACAACCATCCAATTGCTATCATGTAAATACCAAGTGTTTTCAGATATTGCTTCTTGTCCACAAAATAATACTACAGGATGTGTATTATTTCATATACTTTAGAAATGTGTAAACAGTTAAAAAGATTTCCAAATATTTATTGAGCATTTGCATTTTCCCACAGTAAGAGCTTTGTATGCCTTCACAAAGTTAGGGAATTAATTTCAAATCCAAAGACTACAAAAGCAACATGTGTATATCTCAGACCACTGCTTCTAAACCCAAACAGACAGGTGTTAAATCATCTAACCATACAGGTATCCAAGGAGTCTTAGAGATGGTACCCTAACTTTTAGATTCTAAGGTCCTCAAAAACACAGACTGCTTTATTTTATGTCTCCAGGCTTGTCCCAAGGCTTGATACACAGGAGACACTCAAAAAATATTTTTTGAATACAACATCTCAACAGAGTAATACACCTCTTCAAAATGCTAAAGGTAAAAACATAAATATAGTTAATTTTTACCACCATAAGGGCAACCCAGAAAGGAATTCAACAAAAATAAAAGAGATGACATAAATACAGAGGTTGTAGCCAAAATGCGATCCTTAGAATCCTGGTAGCAGATACACTCAAAATTCTTGCTGAGTTAAAAACCATGGATACAGCTTCAGTTATATACAACTAGACACTCTAGAGAAGGGAGATGGCCATCTACATTTTTATACACTCCCTAGATAACTCTTAAACACAGGAAACCAAAAGACCTACGGAATAGGAAGTTACAGGAAGCAATTACTTTGCAACAGAGAATAAGATGCACAGACAGGAAGACCAGATAATATCTTGCCTATAAAAGATGATCTTTCGCAAACACCTTTCTTCTGGGACATGGCGGTTCCCTTTGATAAGTGACTGAGAGTTGGCATGAGTCAAAGGGAGGGTGTTCACAATCAGAGAAATTGTGCAGGAAACAGAAAACAAGCCTAATAATTTGCCTTAAAATGAATAAAGTTAACCCCACGCCCCCATAAAAAGGTGAGAGTAAAAATAGAGCATCTACGGTAGCACCTGCACTTCCAGTTAAACTACCAGAAGTTCCCTGCCTTGAAGGCTGCCTTGTGCTGGCCATTTTTCAACTCATGTCTTAAAATAAAGTGACATTTCTGCAGCAAAGAGAACAGTCTTACTTGAAGGGTGGAGGTAGATTATGTCTTTCACTGTGAAGTCTCGGGACTGAGCAGCTTTCAGACAATCAGCCAACAGGCTCAGCAGCAGTAGCCAGGCCAGGGCAGGGCCAGGTTCCATGGCAGACCGAGGTGTCACTCATACAGGGGACCTGGGAGCGGGGACTTAGGATGACTGGAGAGAACTCGCACCTGAAATAGGAAGCAAGATGCATCTCAGTTTCTGACTCAAGAGCCCCAGGAGACTTGGCTAAGTTCCTGTGTTGGTACAGTGAGCTAGAGAGGAATAGGGTTCTGAGAGCACAAAGGAAGTGAGGACACACATTTGGTCATTTTAGAGCATTTAAAAAATTCCAGATAAATCTATACTATTCTCAATCAGGTTGCTAAAGCTCTATTGGTAGCAGCTCCCATAATGTTCAACAGAGATGGGATCAAGAGAGATTGACTTTTAATGAAATTCAGCTTTTATTGTCAGGAGGCCAAGGGACCGTTGCCAGAATGCAACAATAAATAAGTCAGGAACAAAACTCAGAGGCATTTCCCTGATAACAGCAAAGGCCAGGCAGAAGAGCTCAGCCTCACCAGGTCCTGTTGCCCTTGCAAACTTGTACAAACTTTCAGATTTGGGGTGGGGAGGGGGGAAGAGAGGTGGGTAAATCAGTTGTCACCCACACCAAAAATTATTTTTATTGTTCAACATTTCTTTACTCCATAACTAACACTACTGACCATGCATGCACGCTGAGTCCTCTACATGCATCAACTTATCCTTTTAAAATCCCACAAGAGGGGGGCCATCATCACATTTTGAGTAAGCTGAAGTCCAGTAAAGGAGTTGACACAAAACCAGGCAGTCTGACCATGGAGTCTACATTTTTAAGATTTCTTTACTTATGCATACAGAACTGGGGTACAGGCAGAGGCACAGGGGCTGTCAGAGGATTCACCAGAGGTAGAGTGGGGAGCAGAACAGACCGACTGACAAAATACACTGCTGAGGGGAGCAACGGGCGAGTCAGGAGAGGTCTGCCACACCTCTGGGGTGGAGATCGAACTCATGCTGTACTGGCTTTTGCTTCTTCGTGCTATGCATTAACCTGCTGAGCCACCAGGGAGGGCCCGGATCCAACAGTTTTAAACACTAGTTGACACTGTGCTCTTCCTAAGGTTGCTGTATTAGTAGCACTGAGACTTAACCCCAAGGCCACCAAGGAGGCCTCATATTGATAGGAAGTTTTTAAATGAATAGAGAAAATGGAAAAACATAAGGAAATAAGAAATAGATTCAGTAATTTATAATGATAAAGCAATGTTTCAAAATTACAAAACAGGAAAATAATAAATAGCATTAACATAACTTGATTAAAAATTATGAAAAAGGTTCAATGAAACCAAACATTGCATGAGAGAGTAAAATGAATTCCAGATGGATTAGTATGCTCATTACATTTTAAAAAATATGTATTGAGAAAATAGGGTAGAGCACTTATTATCCTGTAATTGCCTAAAGATGCCAATTCCACCCTCACATGCCAATTTCATTTCCACTAGCCATGTTGGATTACATCTTGTGTTCACTTAATAAATGTGACTGCCAGGCATTGTGCTGGGCACTTAATGAGCAATATGATAAGAAAACAATTACCAGTGGTATCTTTCCCTTGCTGAGTAACAGAGTCAAGCATGGTCTCACGCACATGAATGCAGTATTTTTTGTTGTACGTCCCTGTGGAAGTTGATGCTGCAACTGCAGGACCAATCTGTAGGACCCCAAGGAAACCTAGCTGCACCTCATCAACCTACTCATTTCCATACAAACTATGGCAGGACTCAGTTTGAGAGGGATATTGAAAAAAGTCTCTATCTATCTATCTACCTACCTACTTATCTATCTACCTACCTATCATCTATCTATCTGGATATCTATCTATCTATCTATCTATCTATCTATCTATCTATCTATCTATCTATCTATCTATCTATCATTCACCATTAAATATCAACTAGTTGCCAACCCACGGTTTATTGTTTTTTGTTTTTTTTTTTTGTTTAAGATTTATTTATTTATGCATACAGAACTGAGTGGCAGGCTAGAGGTGGAAGGGTGGTGATAGAATTCACAGAGACAGAGTGGGGAGCACAACAGGCAAATCAACAGAGTACACTGCTGAGGGGAGCAGCGGGAGGGTCAGGAGAGGTCTGCCACGCCATGTGGATCACCTCCAGGGCAGGGTTGGAACTCATGCTGAAGTAGCTTTAGCTTCTTAGTGCTGTGCTTTAACCCGCTGCACCACCAGGGAGGGCCTGCCTACCCACATTCTTTTTAATGTGAAACTCGATGTCAACACCAGTGTTTCACATATATGGAACAATGGACTCCCCTTAGTGCTGTAGTGCAAGTGTTTTCCACAGGAGAACATGGGGAAGGACTGCAGCTGCTAGATTTTATTTGCTCATCCCATAATCTTGGGATAAGCAAATCCAAGACAAAAAAAGGATAAAGATGAGAAAGAGAGAGACAGGAGAACGAGAGAGATACTGAGCCTGTGGTTACTCTAAGATCACCACTTCACAAGCCAAAAGGAGATAGAAGATGGCAAGGAGGCCAGCCATGGAAGTCATAGAAGGAAAGGAAGAAAATGTACCTGCCTGGTGCCTTCCTGTCCTTTATTTCCCTTTGATCAAGGTTCACTTCCCCACATTTCAACAGCTGGTGTGGAGAAACAACACAGTGTGGATGGCTCACTGGCCAAGAAAAAGAATGGACAGAACTGTCTCAGGAATCTATGAAAAAACTAAAGGTTTGTCTGTAGTGATGTGTATTAATCCTTGCAGATACTAAATTGCTTTTCTTTCCCAAAGGTTTTGCTATTTTTATTTTATTTTAATTTTCATTGAACCTACTGGGAAGCCCTTTGAAGTACAGGCCATGTGTGGCTGTGTAGACTGCATCCCAGAAAATTGTATACCCGGCCTGATCTGCCATATTGATTTCCCAAGGCACAATTTTGTTTTTTAAACATATCTTACTTTTATTGAAGTAACATTTAAAAACTGTAGATGATTATGGGGTATAGGTCCACACATCCCCAACTGTAGGTTATCATACCACATCCACAACCAAAGCATCCATATTTCTCTGGACCCCCTTCCTCTTTGGTCTCCAACCCTCACCTTCGCCTCTGGTGGCCTCAATTCTACATTTAGTTTGCTAGGTGTTTGTTTTGGTGTAGATTTGTCTAGTGCTTTGTTTTGGTTCTTTCTATTCCACATGAGAAACTTAGGATTAAGTTTGCAAGGCTCATCTATTTGTAGTATGAATCAGTACCTTATTTCTTTTTATGGTTGAATTATATTTCACTATATGGACATTACACATTTTTTTTTACCCATTATTTGACTGGTAGGTATTTGGGAGGTTTCCACTTTTTGGCTATTGTGAATAGTACTGTTTTTCTATGACCTTGTGTTTTTAATTTTCATAGCCATATACCTAAAGTGGAATTGCCAGGTCTCATGGAAGGGAAATTGCCAAATAGTTTTCCATGACAGCTGTACCACTGTATATTCCTATCTGCAAAATATCAGTCTTTCAATTTCTCCACACCCTCACCAACCCTTATTTTCATTTAAAAACAAAGAGCAAAAAGCATCTTCCAGTTAGGGCCATCTTACTGAGTGTAAATTGGTACCCTATTATGATTTTGATTTCCATTTCCCAAGTGATTCATGATGTTAAACATCTTTTCCTCCTGTGTTCACCAGCCCTTTCTATATTGTCTTTGGAGTAACGTCTATTCCATCCTTTGCTCATTTTTAAATTGGATTATTTTGCAGTTATTGTTGAGCTGTGAGAGTTCCTTCTATCCAGATTCTTTTCAGATACATGATTTACAAATGGCTTTCCCACTCTCTGTCTTTTTTACATTCTTGATGATGTCTTTGACATAAAAGATTTTCATTTTATTGAAGCCCACACATTTCTTTTTAACATACAGATTTTTTTCTCTTATAAAAGTCAAGCACTAAAAACAAATATAAGCATACTGTGTGCAGCATAAGAACTTTGAAGCAGCCAAGGCTATATTTTTCATCTTTCTTTTCCATGAGAAACTCAGGATGGGCAGGACTGCTTATTAATATCACCAACTGCTTGCATTCCTGCAGTAAATCATGAAGCACAACTCAGTCTATTACTATTTTCTAGGAAGTGAAAAATGAAAGATGAGTGACATGCATTCACAATTAGTCTAACCATTCCTGAAATACGGCGCAGACGAGAGGCTGTCTTTTCTGAGCAGATCCTGGGTAGTGATGGAACTTTCATTTCTAAACCTCACAAAGATGATGCTGGGCATGCTCAGATAACATGACGGGTCTTTTCCTGGATGTTGATACTTTCCCCGGGAGTCCACTTTTTTTTTGGACTGTTCTAGACATTTAGAAAAGATGTTGTTTTTCCATTTTATGTGCTGCTATTTGAATATGCACTGAGGATTCTGTCCCTGACTACAGCTCGCCTTATGAAGAAGTACACTCTCATTTTCACAGCTCTGTGACCTTTCATTTGTTATTTATGAGCTTTTGCAAATCTAATACCATTCTGACAGATTTAATTTGTGCTCTAAATTACCTTTGCATGAGTTACTCAACTGCTGGTTTTATTCCAATGGACTACTTGCTACATTCTGAAACAGAAAAAAAAAAAAATTAGTTCCAGATCTATTAGTCTTCTTCCACTTGGGAGAAAGTTAAAAAGAATTGCATTCTGATATTCAGCCCATGCTACTAGAGAATATAAAAGAAGGATTTTGCTCTAGTGCAAGAGGCAAAATGTTAGAACCACAACCTATATCATGAATTGCTATTTCACATAGAGTACATAAAATAAGATACTCCCACTCATTAAACTCACTTCAAGATAATTAATCATTTCTGGAAATTACAATGACTAAGGTACCAATTATTAAATGACAACACCTCAATACTAAATCAATGTATAAGCAATTGTGAGTAGAAAACTAAAGTTCATTTAAATACTTTCCAGTGCTTTTTAAACTGAAACTTGAAATGTTTAGTATAAAAGCAAACTGGAGTTCTGAACCCTGAAAAAATGAC